GACCGATTTTCTGACATTCTTGTTGGAAAATGAGCCTCAAAAGTTTAAAGAAATATTGTCTTCCTCGGAAGCACAATATTGGAAGAGGCAGTCAATAGTGAGATAGAATCCATATTAAGTAATCATACTTGGGAATTGGTTGATCTTCCTCCAGGAAATAAACCTTTGCGTTCTACGTGGATTTTCATAAAGGAAATGAAAGTTGATGGTACTATTGACAAATATAAAGTAAGATTAATTGTCAAATAATTTAGACAACAAGAAGGTCTTGATTATTTTGATACATACTCGCCGGTAACGAGGATTACATCTACTCGGGTGTTAATAGGGTTAGCCGCCGTGTATGGCCTTGAAATCCATCAGATGAACTTAAAGAAAACCTTCTTAAATGGAGATTTGGAGGAAGAAATTTACATGGAACAACCTGAAAGGTTCGTGGTTCCTGGAAAGAAAAGAAAGTGTGTCGACTTGTTAAGTCACTTTACAGACTAAGACAAGCACCCAAACAAGGACATGCGAGATTTGACCAAATAATATTATCAAATGATTTCAAAAATTAATAAGTGTAAATACATGTATTTACGTTAAGAATACTTCAAATCATATAGTCATTATTTGATCATATGTAGATGATATGTTGATGAAATATTTAAAATGTGGGGGCTTTTAGCTTATGCATGACAAAAGCCAATGTTAGACGTAATGTCTAAATGATATAATTTTTGAACCCCATTGATATAGTAGTTGGTAAATTCATCAGTTGTTTAGTCTTAATGAAGACTAGTTGATGAAACTACTAATTCGGAAGTTGGTCACGTGCCTTTCTCGAAAGATCATTTTCTTTATTGAAAATTTATATTGTTTAGTTCTTTTATGAATGATGTCACTTTGAAGGTTGTGACTTTTCATAGAAAGATGTGTTTGTATGTTTTGTATAAACATGACCGTTCATGAACGAACGTATTAATATGTTGGTCTATAATGAGGTGAACCAACCGATGAACATGATCAAAATCTATTGCAAGTTGGATTTGTTTCATGAATGAAGGTGCTATAATTTGCATATCATATAGACGTATGAATGAATAGCATACAAATGCTTGAAAATGGCGGAATGATTGTGAAATGTGTTCTATATTAAAAGGTTGTGGCCACAATTAATGCCAATCATTCCAGCTGTTGTTATAATTACTACATTAAGTGTAGTCAATAATCTGATATGCAATCGAAAGTCGAGACGTATTAGTCTACAACATAAGAAAGTTTGCATTTGAACTTTCATGACAATGAAACGAGGTTTGAAGTATTTGAAATATACTCCAAATTGTGCTTTGCACTACAATAAGTATCCCGCGATAATATAGGGGTATAGTGATGCAAATTAGATCACCGGTTCAACCGATTCTAAACAGTCGGTGGAGGAGCGATGTCTTGGAAATCGTCCAAACAAATGTGTATTGACCACTCTACAGTGGAGGCTGAGTTTATAGCCTTAGACAAGGCCGGTGAAGAAGCTGAATGGCTCCGGAATTTCTTGGAAGATATTCCATTTTGGCCCAAACTTTTGGCACCTATATGTATACATTGTGATAGTCAAGCGGCAATAGGCAGGGCAGGGAGCATTATGTATAATGGAAAATCTCGTCACGTTCGACGGAGACACAATACCGTTAGACAACTACTCTCTAGTGGTGTTATCACGATTGACTACGTAAAGTCAAGAGATAATGTGTCGGATCCACTTACAAAAGGCCTATCTAGAGAGGCAGTTGAAAGATCATCGAAGGGAATGGGGCTAAGGCCTAGGACAAGTCATCATGGCGGTAACTCTACCTAGCAGACTGGAGATCCCAAGAGCTAGGTTCAAAGAGATCAAACAAAGTTATAAATGACGGTTCAACATTGTCAAATAACTCAACACATTCTCGTGATGAAGACAATGTTCAGAAATCAAGGTAAAGCATTAAGGCTTTTTGATGAGTCAATAAAGCTTAAAGCTTTTTAATAATTTTCTAAGTCTGGCAGGATATGACCAGATAGTGTGTCTACAGGATTACACGTTTAGAAATCACCTATGTGAATGTTAAGTGTAAGCCACTTTAAGGGGAATGAAAGTAAAGGCCCATTCTCTAAGCACTCATGAAACCAGGCGGTGTTCATGGCCGAAACGAACACAACCGTGAGAACACAAAGACGGTTAAGGGTTAATTGTGTGACTTATGGTTGTCTAAGTATACACCAAAGTTCGACGGTTCAAAGATATCAAATCTACCGATTGATCAAGTATATCCGACATAAGTTCACTACGGAAAGTTCAAAGGGAAACCTACTTATCCAGATGCGATTAATCCTTATTTGTGAATCACACAGTATTTTCATGCATGTTTTTCCTCATATGACCATCCCCCATTCATGTGGGGGATTGTTGCATTTTTATTAAGGGGTGTGAATGGGAAATGGAAGAGGCACCTTTTAGATTGCACCTCTCCATATCACCCTTCTTTTGTCTATAAATTTAGAGGCTTGGCCTCATTTTAAAAACATGAAATCAGACATGGAAAATCTGAAATCTTCTCCCCTCTTTTCTACATTGTTGCATTATTTTCTAAATAAACATAAGTGTCAAGTGTGGTTTGCTCCGTTTGTTGAGTTCGCTGAAGTTCTGTGATTTGAAGTGCCGCTATCACATAATAGTTATTCCGTTCTATCCTGGGAGGAATTAATCCGTATACCTTGGGCAACAGTGAGGGGATTAAATTCTTTAAGGACACACTGTGCATTCAGTGGTCTCGGAATTATTTTACGTTTTGTTTATTGAACTAACGTTTGTTTACTTTTCTGATTTTGAACACAGTAATACCAACAGTGTAATCCTTGACAGCGCAATTGAGGTTCACGCTCCGGCGGAGGTGTTCAAATTATGGGTTTTGATCAAGTAGAGGTGTTCAATGGGAAAATTGTAAGTTTGTTTAGCGGGTTGACAAACAGGTGCAAGTTTAAGTGGCTCCGAGGCCAGCAAGTTTAAGTGGCTCCGAGGCCATTTTGCCTAATAATAATAATAATAGCACCAAAATATTATTATTATTATTATTATTATTAATAATAATAATAATAATANTTGTTGAGTTCGCTGAAGTTTAGTGATTTGAAGTGCCGCTATCACATAATAGTTATTCCGTTCTATCCTGAGAGGAATTAATCCGCATACCTTGGGCAACAGTGAGGGGATTAAATTCCTTAAGGACACATTGTGCATTCAGTGGTCTCGGAATTATTTTACGATTTGTTTATTGAACTAACATTTGTTTGCTTCTATAATTTTCTGATTTTGAACATAGTATTATCTATAGCATTTAAATAGAACCAGAAAATCACATCAAACTGATTAAAAAGTCCGATAAGATATGGTTTGCTATTGAGTTAAAAAATTCGAACTAAACCGACATATAAATATATAGTTTTTATATATACTTTTAAGACTTTATATAAAATGTTCTTTTAAAAAATGTATAGAAATATTTGGGATCCTCTCATGGGATGTAATATTTAATATAACTATGAAGTACATTCATTTTTAGTTACTTTAAATAATGAGTTGTATCACTTTCTTATCAAGTGTTATTTGAAATGGTATTTCAATAATTTAAAATTAAATAGAATATATTATTATTTAGGTATCATATTGATTTTTATGTTTAATTATTAAATTCGGTTAACTTTAAAAGCGTACATCAACGAAAAATTATTGTTAGACGACTTAGAAAAATAACTATCATGTGTTACTAAGAAAATTCTTCCATATAAATTTTTTAATAGATCATACGTTTGTCAAATTTTTTAATTTTTACTAAATACAATTTTTTTTACTTATCAAACTTTATCTATAGATTTTAAAAAGTAAGATTGAAATAATTTTCATGTAACAAAAAATTGAAAAACCCAAAAAATTATAAAACGAACCAATCCAAATCGATATAGTTGTTTTGGTTTAACTTTAATAAAATCGAACTAACTCGAACTATATACACCCCAACCATTAGCATATTCACCTTCCTTAGTGCTGCTTTGCGACTTTTAGGAATGTTCTTAATCTCTATGAATATAGAGAAAAAAGAGCTTTCGTTGTTTGAGAAGTTTAGACTGACCATCTATTAAACTGAGAAAGTTTCAACGTACCAAAAGAGAAAATTTAAAAGGTTGACACGATCAATATTGGATCAAGTCTTTTAATTTTTCATATGATGATTAAGAAGGGGTTAAAACAAATTGTAATATCGAAGTAATTTATCAAATACTATTAATGTCCTAAATATACATTAAAACTCTAGACTTTAACAAGCTAAGACAAAACTTTTAGAGACAATTGGAACCCCGTCTCTAATAAAAACAAAAGACAATCCTTTACTAAGAAATAAAACTTTATCTATATTTACAAGATAAAATCATTTGTAAATACTATACACTAACACTTCATTTATTTTATGACAGTCTGGAAAAAATTATTTCTTAGAAAATCATAAGTTAGCAACGTAAAAGAAAAAGAGAAATATTTACTCACATACATTTGATACCAAAAAAAAATATCTTTAAAAAACATCTAAAAATTTTAACAGATCTAATTTTAAAAGGGACAATTACACTTTTAAATCCCTTGATTATTGGTTAATTTTAATGTAGGTCCATATGATATTTCACTAAACATGTATAACCTTTAATATTCAAAATGTGCATTTTACATACAAAATGCACTATATTTACATTTTTCGGAATAATATCGCTCTCAAATATGAAGTAACTGTAACAAATACTAATGATATAACACCTGAATAGTTAAATAGTTGAAGCAATTACATAATTTGTTAAATTTATAAAAGCTTACAAACAGAAGAAACAAATGTTAATTGTTAATACTTAAGGGACTAAAAGCAAAATATCCTTTCCAAAGAAGATCTTTCTTGCGAAGAAGTTTGTGACCGCTTCCCCTTAAATATGGTGTAATATATTGCTAACAAATATCTATTCGGTAATTAAAAAGAAAAGAAGTAAAAACCCGCCAAGGCGGTCTTCGTCTGTAAGAGGCAATACAAAAACGCGCTAATCACCAACATCAAATTTACTCAAACCCTAATTGGCGATACGAAGCGATGGGAAATGCTAACTGTGTATTCTGTGGATGCATAGAACAAGCGAGCGTTGGTGTGGTTGAGAAATGGGGACGTTTCGACAGGCTAGCAGAACCGGGGCTTAACTTCTTCAATCCTTTAGCCGGCGAATGCCTCTCTGGTATTCTCTCCACCAGGATCAGTTCTCTCGATGTCAAAATCGAGACTAAAACCAAGGTGAATTTTTATTCCCCTTTTGTCCCTGAAAACCCTACTGTTTCCGATTTTACATATTCAAAAGTTGAATGATCGATTGGTTATTTTTAACTGATATAGTTTTTTTTTTGGCAGTTGCTAGTTACAATTCTAGTATTAGTCGTTTCGAAATTCACTCCCGTTAATGCAATTTTTGTTCAAATGTTTATTGTTAGTCATAAGTCACAAATTACATGTTTATAATGCTGATACTAGATAAACAAAACGAAATCGATTAACCAGCTAAATGTGCAACTACAGGGATTTGAAGCCTTAAATCAATTGAGTGATCAAAGACTAAGACATGTTGATTGTGACTTGTGAAAAATAAAAACTTTAGAATGAGTTAACTTAATATCGGTATGTGAAAGTATATTCAGGCTGATGTAACGTGTAGGAATTTCAAGCACGCTCTTACTGTTATATTTTTTTATGAGGTGCTATATTGCTGAAAGAAGTCAGAGAGATTGATGCACTCTGGATAGCATGAAGTTAATTTTTCACGAAACTTTACCTGCTCATTTAGTCTGCAGTTCATGTTTCCAATGTATGAATAGTTTTGCGGTTTGTAAGTCATTTAGATTTCAGATAATGTGTAGTTTCTTTCAGCATAATTCACGCTGAGCAATTATATTGTTTTTTTTACTCATCTGGACTGGAATAGGAACTGCACGTGGGGTAATTCTTCCTTTCTTTCTGTCGATTGTTCTGATAAGCCTCTAGTTGACGACATTTAATTGTTCAAAAATTGTTCTTTGGATGCTCCTGGTAGTAGACAATTGCCACAAATTGGCACTGAGCTAGTCATAGTTCTCTATGTTATGATGAATGATATTCCAATGCTTTGTTTTTTGAGGTCCTTGTGATCTAATTTACTTTGCCATAAAGCTGCTTGTATCTTTTTGGGGAATTGATAGCAGTGTAGTTGACAGAGGTGGGCTGATAAAATTGTCTTGTTTTAGAAGCTCAAGTTGGGAATAATCGATTATGTTGCTTTACCTGGAGAAAGTTAACTTATATGCAATTGTTCAGGACAATGTCTTTGTTCATTTAGTGTGCTCGATCCAATATAGAGTGATCAGGCAAAATGCTGATGATGCTTTCTATGAGTTGCAAAATCCGAAGGAGCAGATTCAGGCTTATGTATTTGATGGTAATTTATCTCCCTTTGGTTTCACTTTTTGTGAGTTTACTTTTGTCTTATTTATTTATGCCACTTTCTATGATGCTCATCTCTTTCAATGTTCTGGACTGTTCTAGTTGTTCGAGCCCATGTACCCAAAATGAATTTGGATGAACTTTTCGAGCAAAAGGATGAAGTTGCTAAGGCTGTGTTGGAGGAACTTGAGAAGGTAAATTCGTGTCCTTATGGTGACTGGAAAAGAAATCCTCGCTCCATTTTAAATTTGGAACAGAACCTATTCAATGGGAAAGAGGGGATTGGTAGGATAGTGAGGGGTAAAGAAAGCAAAGGAGAAAACTAATTAATTCTCTTATTTATATTTCCTTAAGCCGAGGGTCTATCGGAAACAACCTCTGCGCCTTTATAGGGTTAGGGGTAAGGATGCGTACACACTACCCTCCCCAGACCCCACGTATGGGATTAAGATGAGTTTGTTGTTGTTGTTGTTGTTGTTTCTTATTCATATGTTTTCTGTGTATGAAATCCAAACAATTTTAACTTGTTTCATACCATTGGGACCCTGGATTTTGCTGCGGAAGGAAAGTCTTTAACTACACCAAATCATTTGGATGACTTTTGCTCTCCGAGAGCATTCTGGTCTTTTAACACTTATCTGTTTCTTAGTTGAGATTTTATCATGCAAAGTGCAACTGTTGATCAATTATGTGGAATGCAGGGATTTTGAAACATTAAATATTAGATTACCTCTCTGCTTGGGACTGTTCTAATAGTTGTTTCTTACCCAAGATCTTTTGCCTCCCTGTCACGCCCCAAACCGAGGGACATGACCGGCGCCCGACCGGGTAGCGCCAGTCAAGCGGACCTGGGTGCCTTTCCTATCCCACGTGTTACCCTGTATTTTCATTACTCATTAATCAAGGAATTAGCCATTTATACTTCAAACGCTTTTTCACAAAACATACATAACATACATGGTTACTTAATGAGGTTTACAACTTACATCGCCCAACATACAAAATACATATTTACATAAGTTAGTAACCCACATTTACTATCTAAGGAGCCTCTAAGGATACAAAAGGATAATACAATACTTGCCGGTAACAAGGCCCCGGCTATACCTTACACAAATATTAAGACATGACTCCGAAATAAAAGCGGCATGAGCCCGCAGGGCCCCGAGAGGAAAGGGGCTCACCAATTCAGCTGACGGGAAGTAAAGGGGAGCTACGGTCGGTGGACTGGAGTACCTGTTATGGATCCACCTACAATCATAACACGAATGTAGCGCCCCCGGCAAAAGGGACGTCAGTACATTTGAATTGTACTGGTATGTATGAACAAACTTTGCTCTAAGCAAACTCAAACCATACACAAGTAACAAGTAGTAATGGAATCAACAATCAAATACACATGAAAGGAAACAATCAAGCTAAACAAGTTTACAATCTCTCCATTTTCCCTTCAACATTTTCACATCAATGATTTCACAAATTTCTCATATTTTCATTTCAATAGTGATTTCGATCACTTTGCACCCTTATTACCTCGGCCTACCCTTATCACCACAACCCACACCTTATTACTTCGTGTTGCGGCGCGCAACCCGATCCCACCGAACAATCACAATTCACAAACAACACAACAACAACAACACTTCACAAAGAACAACAACAACAATTCTCAAGAATTACAACAACAATTCACAAAGAATTTCCATAACCATCGATACCGTTTCCATCATATTTAACAACTCATATGCATTTTATGTCACAACAATAATTGCCCACGACAAGCCATATATGTTATTACCACAGTTGTTCCAATTGTATTATTTACGATTTCCTTCCATCACTTGTTGCTCAGCTCTTACCACATAACACTTTCACAATCACACATTTGGTTTATTGCCAATTACTTACACCATTATATCGGGAGACTTAACCATGAACAATCAAATCATACCAATTACAAGAACTTCACACATAATCCACGTAGATATCACATACCAAATTCGTACGCCAAACAAGGTTATTTTACAAAGGTCAAAGTTAGCCATACATACCTGGAGCCGAATTCCCTCTTTAACTTCTATTTTCAATTCACCAAATAGTCTAGCAACGTCAATCTAGTGCACAAGTTAACACATATGACTTAGAATTGAAGTTCACAATTGCTACTCAAACTTATTTAGGTTATCAACCCCTCTTGTACAATCCTTTACTCCTACCCAATTCCTCTTACTAGATTCTTGGTTTTAAAAGTCATGCATGTGTGTTTTCAACCATTATTTTCAAGAATCAATGCATGAGACTCCCCCCTTAGTTTAAACCTGAAAATCAATGAAAAAAGGTTAGGGGTTTTACCTGCAAGAATGGGGATGAAGATAATCACTTTGAAATTCCCCGGCCCGGATAGTTTTGAAGAATCAAATTTGATGAAGATGACTTTCTCTCTCAAGAACCCTCTCTTCCTCTCTCTTATTTTGTTCAGAAAACTCGTTAAAATGAGGGGTTGGGGTGTTTTATTAAAAAGGGGGTCGGGTTTAAAATTTAGAAAAATAGGTACCCGAGTCAGATATGCGGTCGCACTTT